AACCCCATCTATTCTCTGCCTCCCATCGAGTCCCAGCTGATTGGCTGGGTCTCCTTTGGTTGCCCTGCACAGGAGAATGGAGCAGGAAAGCAGGTTAGTGGGGTGGGGAGGGAAGGGGGATTTTGCAGTATATCCTTCCCCTGCCATGCCCACCAAACCATGCCCATAGAACCACTGTAAAAAAAAATTGAATCCCACCAGTGGTCTAATCTCTTCTTAAGTGATATATTCTGTTCCATCATGGTGTCTCAGTTGAGTTTGGTTGAAGGCTATGATCCTGCATGTTGGTTTGATTCATTTTTGCTGACCCTCATCCTGAAGTCTTGACCATCAAATTCCCCAGAACAAAACAATCTTTGTATTTTCTATTGATTCTCCCACATGGCCATTCCTGTTCCACGTTAATGGATGACCTCTCTACCTACCTAATGGCCATTTTGCCGCACTTAATGCACAGAAATATTAACCGTTCTTTCCAGTGGATACTAAAAGTCAACACGTTATGCCTTTAATGGGATATAAAGGTTCCTTTTGCAATCGCACAAACGGCTGCCTTTTTCTACACAAATTGTGGGTGCCTCTGGCTGAGGTGGAATTATAACCGGGCATAGATATTGCAACACTGCAAATTCAATAATACAAGTTGCCCTTTATGCTGGAATCTGAGTTTACTGGACCACACAGGAGGTCAGGTTTCAAAGCAGGTTGAAAATATGTGTGTGTATGTGTGTGTGTGTGTGTGTGTGTGTATCTGAGCACTGTTTGTTCAATACCTACCCAACCACAAAGAAGTATTCATTCAGAGAAAACATTCATTGAAATGTTTTCAAATTAAAATAAAGGACACAACTCCCTTATGAAAAGGACAGTCTATTCTGGAACACAGAGCCTTTTAATAAGAATCAAAACATTTATTTCTTGCCATTGATGGTACACAGGTAGTTTTCCACTTATGACCACAATTGAGATAGCTGTTAAGTTATTTAAGCTGTTAAGTGTCTATGGTCCAACCTCCCTTAGATCATAAAACATGATGGAGCATAGATTTTGGTTTATTTCTCCCGTTTATTCAATAATTGGTCTCAGACAAATTGGCCATCAACGATCACATAGAGATAAACGACGTCTACATATCACTCAAAAGAGTCAATCAAAAAGCCAAAAAGGAAACAAAAAGATCAAAACATCTTCCTTCCAGCATCCAGCAATCTACACCCAGATAAGCAGAGATTACAGATTGACACGAGACCAACAATCAAGAAGTCAACAACACTCCAATCGAGGAACTACCAACTCAGACAAACAATACAACCGTTAACAAAAGCCTAATCAAGGAACCATCCAGACCACTCCCACCAACACTGACAGGGCAAGTCGTGTGTGTATATAAACAGGGAGCAAACTCCACTCCTTTCTAGCACTAATGATGTCACCTAGTTGAGTCATGAAACATCTGCAAAAAAACCACCAAGCTCAGAGAGCACTAAGGACCCCATGATAATTCTCCTCCTCCTCCTCCTCCTCCTCCTCCTCCTCCTCCTCCCCCCCCCCCCCCCTCCTCCTCCTCCTCCTCCTCCTCCTCCTCCTCCTCCTCCTCCTCCTCCAACCCTGTTCCCTTCTAGCACTGATGATGTTCCCTAGTTGTGTAATGAAACATCTGCAAGAAAAACACCAAGTTCAAAGAGCACCAAGGACTCCACAATTCAACCCTGAGCTATAAATGTTCTCTTCTATTGGTACATAGGTCCTTTCCCTACAAGTCTAGGTTGGGGCTTCCTCACCCACCACATCACCATCAGTGATGGAGGGGGACTTCTCCCCCATTCCATTAAAGTCTTTCTTTGTAAAAATTAAAAGTTCTGCTGGCCAGAAAATCCATTTTGCACCGCTTTAGAAAAAAACACATTGAATGAAAAATTAGGGGCCATAATGACATTTATGGACCTTCGGCTCATCCAGCAGAGGAAACCACAGTTCCCTTTTTGGGGTCACGTCAGTGGCAGGATACGGGGATAATTGTGGGTGAGGATCAGTGCTGATCAGGGATACAGAATGAGAATAGGATTTCTTAAAAGGGCGGCCAGTCTTCCCCCTGGAGAAATTTCTTTTAAGTGGAGCAGAAAAGTGTACAATACTGCATTATTGTGAGTTTGGCGCCACTGTGTGGTTCAGCTTCTAAGCGTCTGCACAATTGTGTATAATTATGCAGAATACACTCCTCCTTCTTGTTTTTCTAATAAGGAAAAAAAAAGTTCATTTTAGCATGCCTCATCAGTGGCTAATTTACCGTAAATTAAGTCAAGGTCAATGGTTTACTTATTTGTTGCTCATTATGTCTTACTTCTCTTCTGCTCTCTGCTTCTTCAGCAACTTTAAATCAACACTGCTTCTATGATCCTTGGTGACATAAATGGGACCATGACAAATCACCCAGCAGATGGCACTGAAGGCCTATCAAAGTCACCAGTGGATCATACATCTTCTCAATAATTTCCAGAGTCCACCAAGCCCAAAATATAAGTTCCTTCTTTGTAAACTCTCTGAACTGGACCCCAGAGAAACCAAATTGCACATGAAAGATATTTATGCTTAAATAAAGAAAGTCAGCATGTCTGCCAAGTCACTTTCTCTCGGTAGTCCCTTATATGTGTGTTTCTCAGCCTCAGCTGCTGGAAGATGGGTGGGCTTCAACTCCCAGAATCCTCTAGTGGCTGTGGAATTCTGGGAGTTGAAATCCACCCATCTTCCAGCTACCGAAGTTAAGAAAGACTGCACTGTCTCATTTTTTTTCATCCCATAAAGTATCCCTTCAACAATAGAAATGCAAAAAAAATGACAATGCAATAGTAGACCATCGGTCAACTTTCTGTCCAGGTCTTCTCCTTGTCCATCCCTCAACTGAAAATGCCATAAATCTGAAAACTAATCTATGGTCTATGGAGATGCTCAATCATCCAAGTCATGGTTGAAGAAGAAGAAGAAGAAGATTCTTGGATTAGAAGCGAAACCTTCCTTTTTTCAAGGAAAAAAACAAACCAAGAAAGTCCAGTTGCCTTTTAGAAAAGCACTTTTGGGACACCCATCTATGGTCTGGGATGAAGTCCCACTTTCACAAGCGATGCAGTGTGCAACCACAGTGGAACCAAAATTGCCCAAGACAAAGCAAGGGGAGAAACTCAATCAACAGATCCAGTCTACTTTTTGTTTAAGACAACAAGCTTAAAAATGTTTCTTACCAAACAATTGCAGGAAAAAATCAGGGAAGAAGAAAGCAATTGCAGCTACTCCACTTCGCCACACTAAGTTGGAAGAGTGCTTAATATCTCTCCTTGAATCACACACAACTCAGTCTATAGGCACAATGCCCCCATCGCAATCTTAAAAGGAATCCACACCTGGACATTAAAAGCTTTCCAGCAGCAAGTACAATGACTGTGTAAATAGACTTGAAAGAGAAGCCACAGATATGGCGATTTCGTCATATCTAGTTATCTGAATGCAAAAATCAGGTTTGCTTTCAAGGGCCCCCTTCTCTTCCCACAAAGTGTGGGGCCGCACACTACAAAGGTCTTTTAAAAGCATGGCAGAGATCATGTGAAGAGATTTCACACTCTTTACAAAGTTGGAAGTCAAGGATATCCGTCAAAATGACATGTCGGGAAATTCAGGACCGGAAAAAAAAGAAATACATGAAGGAGAATATTTCTAGCTTAGGGTTGACATGAGGGGTCCTTGGTGCTCTCTGAGCTTGGTTGTTTTCTTGCAGACGTTTCATTACCCAACTAGGTGACATCATCAGTGCTAATAGGGAGTGGGGTTTGCTCCCTGTTTATAGTCAAGTGGCTTGCCCCATCAGTGTTGATGGGACTGGTTTTAGAGGTTGTTGGGTTGGGCTCTTTACTGTTAGCCTGTTTGGAAGTTCCTGGATTGGGATATTGTTTACTTCTTGATTGTGGGTCTGATGCTACCTAGTTTGGATAATGAAAAGCCTGCAAGAAAACAATCACGCTCAGAGAGCACCAAGGACCCCTCAAGGAAATATGTATGTACATAGCAAAGAAATTGGGATTTGCTACCAACAGTTCTGATGGCAGCCAAGAGGACAAGACATATTCATGGAGAATCATGATATAGAGGACTGAATATGTATGGTTGTTGGCCACTTCCTTCCATCATGGGTGGCAAAAATCAAGAGGAGAAGGGGACTTGCAGCCTTTGGGGTATCATAACGGGCTTCCAAGATATACCCAGTTGGACCCAGAAGGCTTGACTTAATGGGTCAAGAGCCTTCAATTGACTCAAGATTGCCTTGGACTCAAAAGATTTGAAGTCTATGTGATATTCAGTAGTGTTATCTGCACAGAGGAGGCCAAAATTGCTGTTTTTCCAGAGTTCTGAGTTATATAAACAAACATGTGAAGAACATCTGTGAATGAGAGTGTTAAAAGGGTATGTGATCGTTTTACGCACACAACATGTTTCCTCAGTTTTACAGTACAATTGCTCCATGTATACTCTGACATGAACCCAATGGAGTGTTACTCATTGTGAGTAAATGATTATAGACAAATTTCTTTCCATGTTTGTATCTACTCTTCCAGTGAGTACAGCCGCATTGTGAAGTTGGCCTTTGGGCATTACACAGACTCCACTTGGATCAAAACATCAACAGTCTCCTGGCCTTCATCCTTATATCAAAAGATGCCTTAATAAATAATCTGAACCCCAGCCACATCTTCCATCACAAAGATAACTCCAACTATGCTTTGAATCACTAAAAATAACTTCCAAGAACATGTCTGATCCTCTCCAGATGTGGACAAGAAGAGAAACCTAGACTTACAGAAAAAGATTGTGTTTTATCTATAAAAAAGAAGTCCAAAGAAATGTACAGAAAATATTTATATTCCTGGTGGTTTGCTCTCTTTTTGGGCTATATCAAGCCACAGGAATCACAGAGAAGAGGAAATTTCCAACATCAAGGTTGATGGTCTTCTTACCTTGCACTGCCCCGACACACAGATGGAGGTTCCATTTTGATCGCATGGTGTCCCATCTATCACTTTCTCCGCCTGTCTCACATAGAAGCGATAGCCGACAGCTCGGCAGTTGAGTTCACATTTCTGGCTTCCCTTCACTGAAAAGAAGGCAAAAAGGGTCAAAGTAGGACAAAGACGCAAACATAAATATTTTCCCAAATCCTCTTAACATCATTTAATTGTGCCAGCCGCTCCATCAACAGACTAAAGCCATTGCACCAGGTAGCAAATCACTTTTTTTAGGAGCAAGTGCCTAGAAACAGGATTCATGCAAGGATTCAGTTGGGACGTCAGATCAAATGAAGCTCAATCAGATCCCCAAACAGAATCAACTCTCTGCATTGGAACCATGCAAGTCAAGTGGATGTTTTTAAATCGAAAAGGATTTCAATTTAGAGCTGTGGTGGCGCAGTGCTTAGAATACAGTATTGCAGGCTGATTTTGCTGACTGCCAGCAGTTCGGTCCCGACTCAGCCTTTCATCCTTCTGAAATTGGTAAAATGAGGACCCAGATTGTTGGAGGAAATCTTTAAACTGCTTAGAGAGGGGTGTAAAGCACTGTGAAGCGCTGTATAAATCTAAGTGCTATTGCTATGTCCATAGTAGGCCTGCTGATAACACCGTGTGAAAACAAAAAAAGTTTTTCCCTTGCCCCACAAACTATTCTCGAGACAAGGAATCATCGTCCTTTGTTTCTGGGTATCCTACATCCAATGACTATAATACTTAAGATTGTTGGATTATCATCTATTTATTGACTTGCCACTGGTCATATCAGTTGGAATTCATGGGAAGTGAGCTCCAACGCTCAGGAGGACTCCAAGTTGTCCTATCTATCCTTGACCCTTCAGGATTAAGCTAGTCCTGTAAAATGCTCTCTTGAATGTTTCTTGAAACAAACCATGAACATGTTGGCAAGCTGCCTGGCTGGTCCACTCCCACAGTTATCTCCCTCCTCCAGTTCTCCAAAGTGTCATCTTCCTTTCTCCCACTCCTCCCCAACATCCATTAGCCACAGTGACATGTCTTCTCTCTTTCCTTTAACCTTTAGAAACAGCTGGATGGGGTCTGGAGCGAAGTGGTGGCAACACCAGTTCTCTTTGCTAGAGATCTTGTAGAGGAAGAAGGAAAGGAGAAGGGATGATGGGAGCACCACTGATTTTCTTCGTGGGATGATATCGTGGTCAGGATTTGAATGAAGAAAGGCATGCCTTCAAGAGATTAAATGGTTTTGTAATCCCATAGTACCAATTTTAAATCTATTCCTAACAATATATCTATTATAACAATATAAAACACCTAACAGTTGTTGAAAAGACATGGACATCCGATTTTGCTTGGTTCTACTTTGTTTCTTTCCCAAATTTGGTCTATAACTTTCTGTCCTTGCATTCATGTGTTAGATTTCTACCCACACATGTGTTTCTCCTTTCTAATAGACAATTTTTCTGTTTTGTAATCAATTTCTTTGCATGATATAAAGTTTAATGTAGCAGATTCCTTGGAAAGCCCATGCTACGCTAATCCCAAAACCTATCATCATACTTCTTATTCAGGGTGGTTTTGATTTCTCCCAAATGTAGTTTTGAGATATCTTGAGATGGATTTTAGCATGTGCAGTGAAGAAGATGCTTGTTCTCACCACACTAAATTCACTTTTGGCAGCTGATCCTACTTCTCTTGGACAGAAACCCAGGCAGGATTAATTTTACAACCTTTGGAGCAATCATGAGAACTGAGTGTTATCTGTTCCTAAACTCCATTCTGATGCTCCCAATTTAGTGAGGCAGTTCTAATTTGAAAAGCACATTCTTCCATATCTGTTTACAATCTCTTCAAGGACCTTTTCCCCTGCAACTTCTAGTTCAACATGACAACCAGTTGCCCAAAGGATCTTATCCCTCACATCAAGAGGGGTTGGGCCCCATTCCATCACGGAGTAAAGGAATCCTAACAGAATGAAAGGCATTGCTCAAGCTACTCATAGGAAGAACGGTCGCAAGAACTGGGCATATCTAGTTTAATGAAAAGAAGGACTGGGGTGACATGATTGCAGTCTTCTAATATTGGAGGGGCTTCCCCAAAGAAGAGGGGGGTCAACCTATTCTCCAAAACACCAGAAGGCAGAACAAGAAGAAACAGATGGAAACTAAGGAAGGAGAGAAGCAACCTAGAACTAACAGTGAGAACAATCAACCAGTGGAATGACTTTGTCTTCAGAAGTTGTGGATGCTCCCAACAATGGAAATTTTCAAGAATAAGATTGGACAACTATTTGTCTGAAGCGGTATAAGGTCTCCTGCTTGAGCAGGTGGTTGGACCTTAAAAGCCCCTTCCAACCATGCTATTCCATTATACTTCATATCAATCCTGGTGATCAATGTCACAGCCAGACCAATGGTCCCAATGTTCAAGATGGTTAAAGAATTAGAGGTGTCTGAATTGGAGGATAGAGCCGTTTCTCACGCAAATACTACAAGATTCTGCCAGTCTGCCTTTGGACTTAACAGCAGACCTTCTTTTGAAGAAATCTATTAAGACTTTCTTTTCTTTCTTTCTTTCTTTCTTTCTTTCTTTCTTTCTTTCTTTCTTT